TGTGCTATTGCACTCACCCTTTACTAACTTCATCTAACTACTCACTTTTATCTAGGTCTTTTTGGTTTTAGCCTTTCTTTGATCCCAACTTCAGCATTTGAAAGACTATCCCATTAGAGCCACTGAGTTTCTCCTTCACTGATGTCCTGTCTCTGTTATTTGAATCTGTGTATCTCTGGCTACTTACACCTCTATCTCTTTCTTGAGTTTCCTGGCTGAGCCTTTAACAAAGCCTTAATGGTATGTCTTGAGGCAGAGAGCAATATAAATTAAGCAGGGAAACCAAGTAATACAAAACAGTGATTAAAAATTTCTATAGGTTTCCCTCAACTCATTACAATAGCATCTTCCCCAGCAGAAGCTCAGAAAATTTTGTTTATAGGTAGCATTGGGATATCTATGGAATAGTGCAGTTTGCCATCCCCCATGCTTTATGCTGAATGGTTATTTTGCCTTTGAGATGGGGCATCTGTTAATGACAACAGCAGTTCAATAAAGTGGAGGTATTCTTGCCTCGTGTGATGGTTTTGGCTGGGATAGAGTTAATTTGCTTCATAGTAGCTAGTATGTTTTGGATTTGTGCTGGAAACAGCATTGATCATACGGGGATGGTTTAGTTATCACTTAACAGTGCTCACACAGAGCCAAGGCCTGTTTCTGCTCCTCACCCCACCAGCGAGCAGGCTGGGGGTACACACAGAGTTGGAGGGGTCACAGCTGGGACAGCTGAACACAATGGACCCAAGGGATATCCCAGACCATATGTTGTCACACTCAGCATATAAAGCTGGGGGAAGAAGAAGGAAAGGGGGACATCTGGATGATGGTGTTCGTCTTCCCACATAACAGTTATACATGATGGAGCCCTGCTGTCCTGAGGATGGCTGAACACCTGCCTGACCATGGGCAGTGGTGAATGAATTCCTTGGTCTCCTTTGCCTGTGCATGGCTTTTACTATACCCATTAAACTGTCTTTATCTCAACCCATGAACTGTCTCAATTTTACTCTTGCAATTCTCTCCTCCATCCCGCTGGGGGATCCATCCCACCCCATCCTGGAGGCACTCAGCACTCCTTTCTGCCCTCAAGAGCATCATTATTGGCACTCCCAAGCGTGGCTGGCAGGCAGGACAGCCAAGGTTTTTAATACCAGTACTGAAAGGGGCTCTTACAACTCTACCTGCTCCACCTCACCCCCTTGGGCAGCAAATATGGCAACAACAGTGCCTCACAGGGAAGACAGGCAGGAGATGTTGAGGTGGAATAGACTTATAGAAAACTGTGGAAAAAAATCCTTCCATTTCCTTTTGCTAAGTAGTGATGTTATTAACAGCAATTCACAATCCTAGGTTTTGCAGCAGACACTAGTTCACCAAGTAACTGAGAGTAGCAATTAATGCAGTGCCAGTCATGGGAAGTAGATAAGTAGCAAAGACTGTTCCCTTCAACCAAGGCCAGTCCTGCTAGCAATCTGGAAAGGAAAAGATCCATATCCCATTACCAGTTCTTTATGACATTCAAAACCAAGAAATACTGATAAGAATCTCTGAATAATTAAGTTTAAGCTGATGTGAGCAGAAAGCTCAACTGGATTGGAGATGTTAGACTCTTCATTAGCTTGCTGGCAGGAAATTGCCTAGGTCAAATTCATTCTGTAAGTAATTCCTTGGAAACAAATAAAGCTATCTCAGCAAACAGTTTTGTTCAGAGTCTTGGGGTTAAGGAATGTGCTAAGGCTTTCTTCCATGACAGAAAATTAAAGAGTAGTATAGTTTGCTGTTTGTGAGTTGCTCATGCTAATAGTTGTCTTCAATCATGTCATGCAGACATATGTTACCCACACTGGGGAGATGCAGGCTTCCAAGTTCTGGCAGGCTGGGCCTGCTAAACCTAAAAACTCCCTCCCATATTGTGGGAAAGAGCGCTCCCATATTGTCTCTTATGTGGATTTTTCTACTCCTTTCCCCTGTTCTCCTCATTAGATATACAGGATCCCTGCTGCCCTACTCTGGCCACACCAGTGACTGTATGTTCCTTAGTCCCTCGTTTCTCAAGGGCCCTCCCTCCCCATGCCAAGGGCTGTGTGCTTTTGCTAAACAGATGGCAGCTGTTCTATGTGCCCCTCATTTACAGCTTTCTGATTTCCCTTCACTTTTACGCCCATTGATGCCCAAAACAATTCTGGACAGACTGAATTAATCAGACGGGATGATTAGATTCTCAAGAACCAACCTTTTGAACCAAGCTACCTTTTGAACCAAGAGAACTATATAGGAAAAAAGCTCCATTGCATAAGGGCTACCATGGTTCAGCTGCTATTCAATATACCATGTGCTTACCAGTGCATGCAATGAGAATGTGATTTAGGCTAATGCAGGCTATGGCTATGGGTAGCAACTGGATTTAGGCCTCTTCTCTTGATGAAGGGAAATAAAAGGCCCTGAATATGGAAATGTTTGTCCATACAGACATCCTACAGTAAACATTCTAAAAGCCAGAATTCTCTCATCACAGGAACTGCTTTATCTGAGTCATCATGAACAGGTCTGAACCACCCAGGTCTAAAGTGATCTCCTCTAACTCCTCCAGCCAAGGGGCAATAGGTGCTATTAGTCAGAAAAGGGGCATCGATATGAGAGCTTCCAAATTCCTGAGGAGCAGCAGACTGTTCTGAAGATAGCCAGATCTACCTGAAACACTACTGGAGCCATGAGCTCCTTCCTGACCAGGTTCTCTTCTCTAAATCTTTGAGGATGGCTTGTCTGATGGCGCTTGAGTTGAACATCAGTTAGGCTTCAAATGCAATTTTAAGTGCTCTCTGTTGGGTATTTCCTTCTTCATATAACGTATTTGGATATATCTTTTCTGACGTACCTTTACCTTTAATGCCTACACTTCAGAGTTCAGAAAGTCAGCTCAGAAGTTGTGCCTGAGTAATTCCCAACTAAAAACTAAACCTCTCGTTTTGCTAGGTTTGCTCAGACAACACCAACACCAGCCATCAGCCTTGAATCAGCACCAGAAGTGACCTCATGTCTGCCAGCACTTCCAACAAGCCTTGGTGTTTCTTTGAATAAAGGACTTCAAAGTCCAAAGCGACTACACAAAAGCGAAGGTTCTCAAAAGCGACATCACTGCAGAGCAAGGATGTACTACCCGAAAAGCTGGACCCACCAGGAAGAAAGGCTTCCTCCTGCATTAACACAAATACTTAATGCAGAATAAAAACTATCCCATCTATTTGTAATTACTGTATTTTCTCTCATGATTGGTCTGAATTTACTTGGTAGAGCTACTAGGATCCATCCACAGCTTCTTTCCTCCCACCAGTTTTTTAGTGAAGTTATATAAAGGCTTTCTACTTATTGCAGGTTGGATTGAACCTGGGGTGTTTTCCAAGATGTAACTTTCCAGTTTCTATCATCAGGGACACCTGAATTACTTACTGGCTGGCACTCAGAGTAGGAACACTCTGTTCTACTTCCTTTAAGGTTAGCTGGCTGATTTTTCAGCTTTAGAAGCCTAGACATCACAAAAGGTTAAGCTCCTTCCCTCCTCCAATTCCAAAGTTCAGCTAAAGCACACCATGAATAGGAAGATGAGAACAAACAGAATAATAGAATCACATGGATTGTGTTGGAAGGGACCTTAAAGCTCATCCAGTTCCAACCCCCTGCCATGGGCAGGGACACCTCACACTAGAGCAGGTTGCTCCAAGCCCCGTCCAGCCTGGCCTTGAACACTGCCAGGGATGGGGCAGCCACAGCTTCTCTGGGCACCTTGTGTCAGTGCCTCAGCACCCTCACTGGGAAGAGCTTCTGTCTAATGTCTAATCTCAATCTCCCCTCTGTCAGTTTAAAACCATTCTCCTTTGTCCTGTGACTGCATGCCCTTGTAAAAAGTGCCTCTAGTAGCAGGTGAAGGCTTTTGTTTTATTTTCTAAATACCTGCACAGATTGGACCTGTCTGAACTTGCTCTGTCTCACCCTGTTAGAGGTACCCATTCGCTATGTTAGAGCAACAGTGATATTAGCCCCTACATCGGAAGGGCAAAGTATCTGTGGATACGCCAGTCTGCACACAAACTACTGCCTCGTCCTAGACTACAGCTCTAAACTGCAGCTCCCAGGAGAGCTACTGAAGCGGACTAAGCCACTGCTTCACGGCATACACTTTTGCTTTTAAAAGGCTCCTAATCATGCCCCCAGCAGAGGTGTTTCAACAGGCAGAAAGGAGAAGGCTGGGGCTTTGAGAGACTGATATGAAGGACTCGGAGGAGAGTGGATGGGGATGGACAGTGAAGATATGAAGCCCTTCACTGGGAAAGGGCTTGGGCAAGGATGTCAGCTTTATGTTTTTGTGAAATTAAAGCTCTGGTGTTTGTGATAGTAATAAACTCATCTATATAAAAAGAATGATGTAGTAACCTCAGATACTGACTTCACTGCACACGGAAGCAGAAGTTGGACTAACTGCAATAAGACTGCAATAAATCATGTTTGTGGAAGGCAATATGAGGCTAACACCAGGCACCCTAGCTTTGGACAGGAGCAATATTCATTCTCTCCCCTTAGACCACTTTGCTCTCACGTGAAATCCCCTCTAACTTAGGCATTAACAAAAGCCCTACACAGGGTGACACAGCTGAATAATCTGCATACAATGCACTAGCCTAAGAACATGTTAGGACTGCTTTTTCCTGAATCCTAGCCAGAAGCAAAAAATAGATAAAGTGAGAAATTAAATTAATTTGGATGTGTTCCTCCCTATAAAATAAGCAATCATATGGAGAGGAACCAAAATGCTGGCTCAGGACTCCTGCACTTACCTTTTGGGCTTTTATTCCTTAGCAATGGAGGCATTTCCATGACATCAAGCAGATAGCTAAAATAAGCATCTTTCCTAAATCAAGCTACGTGTGGAAGCCTAAAATCTATGTAAGGTATGAAAAAGCTACACGCAGGAGGAATGAGGGGGTGGGGATGAAGGAAGAAGGAGGAGGAAAAGACAGGGGGTGGAGAGTAACAGTAGAGAGCAGCAGTGGTCCAGCCCCTCAGAATCTGAAAAGCATCACAGGAGCCTCTGGATAAAGACCAGCCTTAGTAGCAAGGCTTGGAGACAGAGGATTTCAGCTCAGTGATAAAGCATGGTGAGTAGGATTTTTGTTATCTACCTTATTGTTTGCCCTGGTGCAATGGCATTTCCTTTGCTCTGACACTTGCAGCGGCTCCGAGGCACCGTTATTTCGGGATGACTGCTCATTTTTGGAGCATTGTTTTTTACTTAATTTTCCATACATCTCACAAATGTGTGCCTGTATCTATATAAAAGCACATCCTATCTCCTTTTGAAGCCATAAATTACTGAAAACAGCCAAAGCTGACAGCATTAACACTTAGCTGCCTGGTGCCAACAGGCTGCTGGTCGGAGCAAGTGAAAAATGCTGTTTCCTTCTCAGGTACACAGTGGAAATTTCTGCTCAGCTGCCTTGTCCTAGCAATAGAGTGATGATCTGATAGGTCCCTAGGAAGGAGTTTGTGCTGTCCTTTTATATGGTGTAATTGGAACATTTCAAGCAGTTTCATTTCTTTCAGCCTCAGGTATAGAAGAAAACTGTGTGATGGGCACAGGGGATTTGGCAGAGAACGAGTCTCCTTTTGTCATGATATCAGCCTCCTTCCACCCCACCCTACCACACACCCCCCACAGAGCTGGAGAAAGCACCAGGTGCCCCACAATGGGCTGGGGGAAGCAGTGGGTGCTGCTGTCCCCCAGGGACCCCTCCTGTCAGCACACAGCAGGTCAGGATGCTGGGACTAGAAACGTGGTTAATTCTACTACGGAAAATTCTGAGCTCCACGGAACACTTGGCAGGGCTTAAAGGAAGGGTCAGGCTTCCCTACAGCACATTGCTAGTAAGATTAAGCATTTAACTACACATCCTTCTAGCATTCTGCCGGGGAGTATAAGATTTTACTTTGTGTGCTCAGGGGAATTAAGGTTGGAGAAAATCACACCAATGTACTTTTTGCCAGTTCCTAGTGAGAAAACCATTGCCTGACCTAAATGTATATGCAAATAATTAGGCATCCTGAGTTACCCAAGAGAGACAAATGATTAAAGGAAATGATAAGATACAGCCACTAAGGATGATGAAGAGAATACTCCTCACAAGAGGCATGATCTCAATGCAGGTTTGTGTGTCACACAGGCATCTTTAAAAATAAACAGTCTTCTGTTTCCTGAATCATGACGTCTGTGATTACATCCTCCAGCCTTTCCACCCTGTTCTCTTCTGTTTTCTAATGGAGATGAGATACTAGCAGGGTAATAAGTTTAAGTGAGAAGATGAGCCTTGCTTTAAAATCCTCTTTAGTTTTCACCATAAGAACTGTTACGTTTATTGTTTATTAAGTTTACTGTTACGAGAAGCAGTGTTACAGTAACTGCAAACAGGGTATCACTGTGCTCTAGCAAGGACAGATTTCATTGCTTTGCAATTAAAAATCAAATTAATAGAATGGGATGCATGTTCATGATTATTAGTATTTCCATTATTAACTTTTCTGAGATAGAGAATTAAGGTTTTTGACTGAAAATAAGCAGTCTTATTCCAAACAAATCCCTCTCCCCACTTCACTGCGAGCACCAGGTGGTCTTTAGGCATTGCTGATTGATTAGAACCTAAGCATTAAAAATTAGCATTGTCCACTGAGTTTAAAAGTAGCTGTGGCTCTCACCACCTCATGCTTGCTTGGTTTTGCATTGTAAGACTTCCAACTGATGCTCAGCAGAAATCATCCCAAGGTATAGAAGGCATAAGAAGGAAGAGCCTCCCAGAGTGCTCCATTCTTCTTTCCTTTTCCCATTATAGAATTTCTTAAGAATTATGAAAAAAAAACCAACATTTTGCCTTAAAGTGCATCCATTTTAAGCATAACACATGCCCCAATGCCCAAAGCAGAGATATGTTTTCAGGAAACCTAATTATGCTACCATTTTTATTTGGAAAGCAGGGGTAACATTTTCAAAGGCAACACTGATACTCAGGATCTTAAGTTTGATACAAAGCCACTTGTGGGAAAAGGATTTTGGACTTGTTCCAAACTTGTATCCTAAAACATAAAAGCAACCCACATGGAGATTTTCCTTCTTTTAAAATTAAAAAACCTAAAAGAGGATGCAAGGTTTACCAACTCTTTCATTTAATAAAGGCAAAATGCTTGGAGGGAGGTGAAATTAAGGCTTCAAGTGCCAAGCAGAATTCTGCTTAGCAAGAGACAGCAAGGTACCATCTCCACAACCTGCCAATTTTAAGAATGATATAAATGTAAAGAAGCAGAAAAAGCACTCCTATCTCCCCTGCAAATTAACAGCTATATTCTGGATTTTGCTTATTCCTATCTCCAAGAGTGACAATTATATATAAATTACACATCAAAGAAACAAGTAGGAGTGTCCAAGTCAGAGAGCTGATAAGATTTGGTAATAAATGAGCCTTAGTCATATTCTTTCTACTTAAGCAAAAGTAATTCTGAGCCAAGCTTACTGAAGCCAGTGTTACTCTGAATGTCCTCTTCGTAACACTATTATTTCCATGTATGCAACCCCAGTGAAGCAGATACTTCTATTTTTCCAATAAGATGATCTTCCTTAGAGTTACTCCCAAAAGGACCAGTATTTTATCTACTGACACATAAAGGTACAATTTATTTTACCTTTCCTTTGAAGATAACCCGAGCAAACCTTTCTACTGTGAGATAAGCCCAAAATACAAAGAAAGTTTCTCCCCATTCCTCCAGAGAGGGAGAACTGTAGACAGCTCAGCTTAGCAGAAAGCTTTGAGGGCCATGGGTACTGGCACATGTGAACCCCCTCTTCCCTGACCCATACAAGAGAGGCAATATTTGGTCAGTTTGAATACTGCCTCCACCCAAATTCCTCCTGCTTCCAGCTCAGCTGCACCCCTCTTTGGCCTTTGTCTGCTGTCCTGGACTTAGGTAGAATTTAGGCCATCTGAATATGGCACTTATTAACCAGAACAGTTACCTAACTCAGTCTTGTTCAGGTCCTCATAACCCAGAACTATAAGCAATTGCACTGAACTGTCCTAAAACCAAGTCTCCTCAGCCCACAGGAATGAGTTCACCTTCCCATTCTAAACCTTTCATCTACTTCTAGATGAATAACAGACACAGTAAAACCTGGTTTTATGAAAAGACTCAAACAGCCTGCACAGATGATGTATGTTTGAGCATGAGCAATGTTATCCAAATTTAAACCAAAACTGTATTTTCATTTATAGTACAAAATCAAATTCCAGATCCAATTGCCTGCTTAGATACTGGTGAAATCCTAAAAGTGAGCAGCTGGTATGAACAAAGCAGATAATTGTACTGTTTACTGTAGATGGGAAGTCTCAGTGTTGCTGCACTTAAGATCATTGTAAATGACAATTAAACTGTAGCCCATGTAAGATCCAAGGATGTCCTCTATTTAAACATGTGCTCCATAAGTAACATTAACAAAGAAAACACCCAGAGCCTATTGAAAACAGAACAACCTAGCTTTAGTAGACTGACTACCAGAGTTTTACTTTACAGTGATTACAAAATATATTTCCTTTGCAAAGGTGGAAATCAGTCCCTCATATACTCTTTATTTATCCTTGTGGAAGAAGGGATATACCGCAAGTTAAGTCTAAGAGGAGACCAGAGACAGGCAGTAGTGTAGCCAGGTGCATGGGTCAAGAAATCCCAGAGAATATGGACCATTTGTTAAATGCCTAGAATTATTTTTCATGGGATTTCACATAACCACTGGAGGATAACTTCCCCTTACAGCACTTCAGTATGTTTCTAACTTCACTGGTACCACTTCTGGGGTTAGAGATAAAACTTGTGTCACTGCAGAGAGAAAAAAAAAGGTATCATGGTATAGTCCACTACAACCAAAAGTGCTAAAAGTACTAATAGAAAGAGAGTGGCATTGCATAAATATTTCTGTTCTATATTTGGAAAGAAGCTTACTGATAATGGATAGCACATGAGGATGAAAAGGAACTCATAGGAAGGGAAGTTACAAAACAACATCTGAGATGACTTTGTTAAAAACCCTGCAGGCTCTGCAGTCAGAGCTGATTGAGGAGATCTTCCCCTTCTTGGTGTTCATTTACTTAGTAACATTTTTAATGGCGAAGATTCCTGAAGCTGCGATAGTGTTAGAATAAGCAGGATGACACAATGAAATAGATACTAATTAGACTGGCACGAATCCTGAAGGAAATGGGAAGAAGAATATATGGTATTAGAGACATTAAACAGCATACAAAGTTGGTGACTGTATGTACATAAAATTTTAAAACACAACAAACAAAAACCCTACACCTTTTCTTTCTTATCAGGGGAAACTCAAAAAGTACAGTAGGCTACTATAAGTGTAGCTAACATTATTATACTACATATATTTTCAGGACAGATGTTATTCAGGCCATTTGGGCTTTCATGATAAAACCGTTCACCTAATCTATAAAAAGCAGACAGGAGAAGAACAAGCCTTGAAGTTTCTAGACTCAGTTACCAAACTAGTTCTAAACCATTTATCAAACTGGTAGTTCAATTGTGTTTCATATCAAGGAGACAGAATTCAGATCAAAGATTTCTTTATTCAAAATATTATCTAATGGCATCCAGAATTCTTAGTTTTAACAATTTTCATAGTTGACAATAAAATAAATCCACCTTTAAAGCCTTTTGAATGTTCCTACAGAAAAATTTTCCAAGTATGCAATTTCCTACAAAAATGACCCTTGATTAATACTCAGAATAGGCAGAAATAGCTATAGGGCTTCAAAGAGTCCTACTTAACATTGTTGTAACACTAGCATTTGCCATTTGTCACAGATCTCTAAGGAGTTTCTCGGCAGCAGTACTTTCCACAGGGACACATTACCTACATCAACAACTGCAAAGGACTGAGATGTTAGACACTTTATTTTGGGGATATTAATACCTGGTCTTGCAGCAGCTATTTCTGATTGTTTTCACAGCTCTGATGAAGTTCTGCACACTGAATTTCTTCTCAATCACACCTTGCTTTTCAGAAGAGGACTATAATCATGTCCCAGTGACCTATTTCTATATATGCAAAACAAGTTTCCTGCAGCATCAGTGAACTCTAGATACCTGACAGTGTAGTAAAATGTTTACTGGCTTTCATTAAGAAGGCACTGAAATACTCACATGCAGCTCCTAATGCAAGTAAACATGCCAACATCTCAATCACACTGATAGATGTCTACCTATAACCAGCCCCCATGTTTTCCATAGCAGCCATACTCCTGATGTTAAATATTCACACCTTACCCTTACCTTTTCTACCTTTTGTCACTGACCTATGTGTGCTTGCCAATATTGTTAATCACCTGCTAGACTGCAGTTTCTCTGAGAAACAGGGTGTCACTGATCTGGGGTAACGGTTGGATCTGATGATCTTAAAGGTCTTTTACAACCTGGTTGATTCAATGATTTGCCTGCTGGGGACCAGCTGCAGGGGACACAACTCCCCATAGCCTGCAAGGTGTTTGTTGCTCAGTGTTGCTGTTCACAGCAGCTCCTGGCAACTGGAAAGCCTCTGGAGGCTGCAGACAGCTATTATAGTCCAAGGCACACTAAAGACTGCTCTAAATTGTACTTTCAGGGTGTATGAAGGCTAGGCTTAGTGCTGAATTTAAAATCTCCCTGGCTGTCTTTGTACTGTGTGTAGGTCTGGATCCTTAGATCAGATCAAAGATTGTTCTCAAGGGAGTATTGGTAATTTTTCATTTCATCAGAGCAGTTACATATGGTTTGTCAAGGAGTGCTAGAGATAGCATTGTGTTGTTTGTGTGTGGTGCAGAGCTCAGTGGCTCTAAATGATTTTTGTTATTACATCTACACAATTCAAAACAAGATAAATCATTAACTGAGATTTTATTAAGGAAAGATCCAAGCACATTCTTTCATGAATAGGACTTGGAGGCTTTCTCCTACTTCCCATCTAGTAAAAATCTGGTTTCTCTATCAGCTTTTAGGAAGTGCTTGCTTCTTCCCTGACCTACCTTTATGTAACTCCATGGGTTTACTCAATATTCAAGTTGATACAAGGCAGGAAAGGATCAGATCGGTCAACGGAATAACTGCTGGAAAACTGAAAGTGTCATAGCTAAAATAATTAATAACTAATTAGATTTCTGAGAACATAAACCAGATTCAGTACTAAACCATACAGGCAGAGTTCAAAATTGGCATTGATACAGGTAATAGAGTATTTTTGGAAACAGCTAAGTAATACACAATGCAGATTCAATGTGAAAATGCCTTGTGTGCTACACCGGCCTTTCTAAACTGGAAATGACACTTCTGGCATAGTTAACAGTGATTTTCAGTGTGGCACTTTTGACTTTTACAGTAAAAGCAGTAGTGCAGAAAAGGATGCATTATGCTCAGGAGGAAGCAAATTCAGTAATTCAGTTTCAGCATGCTTTCCACAGTAGTACCAAGGTTTATGGATTTTCTACTCATAGGTAAGGATCAATTTAACATAAAGTGAGCACCATGTGTCAAGTGTTTGATCCATTTTCTCAGCTTGATCCACCTTGAGCTCTTTGTCATCCTCAAAGACATAGATTGAAGGACATGGAACTGTTGGAACAAGTCCAGAGGAGGTGACGAGGATGATCAGGGGCGGGAGCACCTCCCGCATGAAGACAGGCTGAGGAAGTTGGGGCTGTTCAGCCTGGAGAAGAGAAGGCTGCGTGGAGACCTCATAGCAGCCTTCCAGTATCTGAAGGGGGCTTACAAGGGTGCTGGAGAGGGACTCTTCATTAGGGACTGTAGTGACAGGACAAGGGGTAATGGGTTAAAACTTAAACAGGGGAAGTTTAGATTGGATATAAGGAAGAAGTTCTCTACTGTTAGGGTGGTGAGGCACTGGAATGGGTTGCCCAGGGAGGATGTGAATGCTCCATCCCTGGCAGTGTTTAAGGCCAGGTTGGATGAAGCCTTGGGTGACACGGTTTAGTGTGAGGTGTCCCTGCCCATGGCAGGGCAGTTGGAACTTGATGATCTTAAGGTCCTTTCCAACCCTAACTATTTTATGATTCTGTGATTTATGAACTGCTGCCTCCCTGATGCACACACACTTGCATGTTTGAGTTCCTCAGGCACTGCTTTTTATTAATGCCTCTTCTACTTTTGGAATAGGACATCTATCTGGTTAAAAGCCCCATTGAAATTATAACCCTAAACCCCAAACCCCCTCATTTCTAACAGACAAAATGTTCTCTGAGCCTCAGGACCAACCCATAATGCATACCCTCTTCTTTATGTAACTTCATTGACTTACGCAATATTGCAGCTGATACAAGGCAGGAAAGGATCTTCCAACCATTACCAATGTACCTCCAGTTTCTCATGCAATGCCATGACTCAGTGATGGAAATTTCTGGTGACAAGCCCATTCTATTAATGAATGTTTAATACCCATCACTTTGTTGTCCAGTTGTTTTTGAAGTTTACAAGTGCTTTTTCACCAACCTCACAATATTTTTCTGCTGCTGCTTTTGTTACAGAAACAGATGTGAAGAAGCAGGATGGAGCTCAAGAGGGGAAAGACCTTCATAAAATCCAGTGTGCAACATGAGAAAGGGCCACCAGTGCTCCCAGTTCCTATAAGCAAAGACAAAACAGCAGCTCTGAATGGAAACCAAAGTGTAGCTGAAGTCCAGCTGGCATGTTTGGCCACACACAAGAACTACAGGTTTTCTACCAGAGCAACAAGGAATGGAGCTGGTGACCACAGCCTGGAAAAATCATCTGGGTCCTCCTACAAACTTGTAAGGAAGAGTAAAACCCATGACTGTGTTGCTGAGGCAGACAAAACAGAGCACTGCAGCTCCAGCAGTAGGGCTTGTGAGGAAGGTTTTTCTGGAAAGGGTAAAGGCCGGCTTGTGAACAGCATCAGCTTTTCAGGGATGTCCAGCTCCAGCAGTAAGAAAGAGTGTTTGGTCAGTCCCAGCCAGTCTGCATGCAGCAGCCAGATGATCGATTACAGGAACTTTGTGCCACAGATGCCTTTTGTACCAGCTGTCGCAAAAACCATTCCCAGAAAGAGGATTTCCCTCAAGAGATCTAAGAAAGGGCTCAGAGATATATTCCATATAAGAAAAAACAAACCAGACAGCCTCACGTTCCTGGTGGAGAAGGACAAGAATCTGTCTTCTCCAGCCAGCAAGAGTGAGTTGTCTGGGAGCCTTGCGAATTACCTTTTCAAGTCTGGAGAAAGCTTTGCAGCTGACTGCTTGTCCCAAGACTGCTCAGACAGTGAGATACAGTCTGACTCTTCCTATGACTGCTGCAACACCCTGTGTGAAGATGTTGCCTCTCTGAAGAGCTTTGACTCCCTCACTGGCTGTGGGGAAATCTTTGCTGATGAGAGCTCTGCTCACCTGGAGCTGGAGAACAGCAAGGAAGTTCTGCTGAGGCGAAGCAAGCACAAAGACAACCCTGTAATGGGCTCTTTCCAAGGGGGGGTGGAGCAGCTGGCCTCTCCTGGCCAGAGTGAGACGGCTGAATTTGCAAAATTCTGGGATAACATCAACAAATCAGTGAGGCTACATCAGAGTGCTCTGTTTGATAAGAAGGTACGGAAGGTACCTGGTCCTGACATGGAAACGGCTAGAAGCCAGGCTGCTGCATCTGTGACAATCCCTCAAGTGTCGCCTGATGAAGACGGTGACAATTCCAAAGAGAGCTCCACAGAAACAGGAACGCCAAAAAGTGACAACCAGGAATCCATATCCACAAGTGATGAGGGCTACTATGATTCATTCTCTCCTGGACAAGATGATGAAATGAAGGAAGCTCAGACGCCTGGGGTCCCAAGTAGATTTCCAAGAGACAGCTACAGTGGAGATGCCCTTTATGAGCTCTTCTATGACCCAAATGAAGTAAAAATAAACTCAGTCTTAGACGATGACCTGTGTGCATCTGAAAGCTTTTCAGAACAAGCCATTGAAATACCTTTGTCCATTTACAGCTTTCATGTTGGAGCTGAGGAGAACATGGCTTCCCAACCGGCTCTAGACATTATCAGCCAGGGTTTTTTCCACAGCACATGGAAAGGCAAAGAGTGTTTGCTAAAGCTCTGTGATACTGAGCTTTCCCTGACCATGGGGATAATAAACTGGCTGCGTAAACATGCAGGACTCGCTTCCTCCCCTGACTCTCCTCAGAGTGCTCACTCACAGCCAGAAAAGTCTAATGATTCACCAATCCCAACCAGCCCCAGTCCAGAGCAGAAAGTGAGCACAGAAGCTCAGCAGGAGAAACCAAGCAAACAAGAATCCAATGCATTTAACCTATGTGTGCCCTTGGATGAAAGCAAGCACACAACCCAGGCTTCCTCAGAAAACATTGCTGAAAGAGACCACAGCCTAGACTCTTGTCCGAACACATCTAATCTGGATTTCCAAGGAAGGGAAGGGAATAGCCACAAGGATTCACCTACAGTGCCTGGGAATGTGGAAATTACCAGAGCACCAAACTACACACCACAGTCACTGGGTAACAGAGACAATCTGCAGACATCTTCAACTGAGAATGAGAAGATGACAATTACAGACGGATGTGAGACATCCAGAGATAAAACCCCACTGCCAGAAAAGCTGAGCAGAGAGAGTGGCTCTCAGAGCTCTGAAAACCCTCTGTTAGATGACAATAACGAAGTAGAATCGTGTTACTCCTACAAGACTGCTGCGACCTCACTCCTAGAACCCCTTGAGAGGGAGGACAGAAATAAACCAATGTATCACTCTGTCTCTATTTCCTGTGACAAACCGCTGCAGCCTCTGACTCTCAGACACTTTCAGAGTTACATTAGCCCCACACCAACAGAGAGCAGCCCTAACATAGTGCAGCTTTTAGAGCACTGTGTAACACAAGTGGCATCATTTAAAATCAGCTATGAAAACAAGCACCTGGAAGACAAATGCATTGGGAATGAAATGAACAATATCATTCGTAAGATATCTCAGTACAAAAACAAGTTACTGCTGCAAAATGAATGCAACTGCATTGCCCAAAATCCAGAATACTCCAGTATTCCTAGCACAAACCAATACAACTATGAGACAAGTTCCCAATCTGGCAGTCTGTATCATTTGAAGCAAAACGGGGAGCAAATTTACTCTGAAGATCAGAAAAGTAGAGCAAAAATCCTAGACAAGGTCACCAGAAGCAAGATGAACTTTGAATATGCCCAGCTAAATAATCAAGCACTCTGCTGTTTAAAAGACATTACATTTGACCTCAGTCCAAGTGACTGTGCCCCTGCTACAACTCTTAGTAGACCAACATTTTTACCTCTCTTTAAGTCTGTCTGCTCAGACACACCTGCTACTTTCTTGCAAGATTCAGGCAGCTCCACCATCCCTCATCCTGACCTGGTGCAGCCCAAAGAGCCCAAGCACTGCAGCCCAGGGCTGTGGAGTTATGCAGAGACTCCCTGCAGGGGCATGGCTCAGCTGAATGCTCTGTCCCCTCACCTAGAGGCATCGACCCCAGACACAGCAGTGACAGGGAGGAACCACCAGTAACACATCTGCATTGAGAAGGTGAGTGCTTAGGGGAAGTCTGAAATCAAAGGTGAAACCCGTAACAGTTGGAGGCTGATACCTACTCAGGGTTTCTCAGTTTCTTAGTTTCATTGTTTCCAACACTCCACCATGGTAGTTAAGAGTAACTGGAATTTAAAATGCACAAACCGGGAGCCTCGTATAGCAGGTATCACACTGAATGAGTCTTACAAGTCCCATACAAAGGTTGAAGCCCCATCTTCCACCGAGGTGCAGCAGTTTTAGTACCAGCTGAAGGAGGCAGAAGTTTTCCTTTCTCACTCCAGTTTGGAACAACATTGGTGGATATGGGCTGCCAGCCACAGACTGCTGCCAGCTTTCAGCTCAGATTTCTGACTACCAGGTCATGAAACCCTAGAATCATAGGATGATTTGGATTGGAAAGGACCTTAAGATCACCCAGTTCCAACCCCCTGCTAAGGGCAGGGACACCTTCCACTAGACCATTTCACCCAAGGCTCTGTCCAACCTGGCCTTTACATTTCCACAGATGCAGCATTTCCCACTTCTTTGAGCAACTTGTTCTAGTGCCTCACCACCCTCACAGTAAAGAACTCCTTCCTTGTATCTTAACTTCTATATATCTTATATATAGAAGATACGTAGATATATTTCTTATATCTGTAACTTCTCCAGATTATATCTAATCTGAACTTCCCCTGTTGAAGTTTAAACCCATTACCCCAGTCCCAGATGAAGAGACCCTCTCCAGCATTCTTATAGGTGCCCTTCAGATACTGGAAGACTGCTGTGAGGTCTCCATGCAGCTTCTGTTCTCCAGGCTGAACAACCACAACTTTCTCAGCTTGAATCTGGGAGAAGCTCCAGCCCCCTGAGCATCCTAATAATTATTTCTGAAATTAGAAATTCAGTGCAGGCAAGGAAAGGTTTGTGGTCACAGCCAGTGTGTGTAAGAAACCAGTGCCAGGCACAGCTTTTTAGGGTTAGAACAGCAGATCAATGTATGCATTGCATTGATATTTGTAATTTGTTGGGAATATTAATCTACAGGGTACTGCTAAGAATATCTCTGCCTTCATAAGGCAGGAACACAAAGGGATTCTAATTCTGAGGAGTTGCTTTCTGGTAGAAACAGAAAAGGGAGTCATAGCTGCATGGCTGTCAGAAGTGGTAGCATACTGTATCTTGATACTGTAAAAGACATATCACAAATAGACATTCCTGGACTTGGGGCACTTTCCAGTGCAGAGTATGATATGGCAGCTGCTGTATGCCACCATGTGTCAGCAGTGATATTACCTGTGATGTCAGTATTATAGTTGATATTATATTATAGCAGTTCACATGCTGTCACCTGAGTCCCAGAGAGAAGGTAATTAAAGTTTTTCCAAAACGGATCTGCTGATATTCAATAGAGGTTTCTCTATTTTATAATATAGATGGAACACGCATACTCATAAAGTGACTTTGAGGAATGGTCTCCTTTCCAGGAATCAGTTCACTACAGGCTTGCTGCTTTTTACAATTTCCTAGAAAATAATTAAAATGCATTTAAACCGGTTAAATGAAATGGCTGTGGTGACAGATATAAACACTGCCATGTGACTGAGTTTCCCTACCCAGTTTCTTCTTGCCTGCCCACAGTGACAGATGGTCTACAGGTTTGCCGGAAATCTACGTCTTTTGGAAGGTGACTCAGGATCTTTTCCTTAATCACGGGGGTGGTACTGTAAGAGAGTCAATAGATAAACATGGTTTTACCTCCGAATCCGTGGAGACAGACAGCACTGAGAAGCACTCCTACACTGGACATGACCGTGCAAACCCAAGAGCTTACACGTGAAGAACGCTCCCAGATTCACTGTGAAAAAACTCAGGAACTGTGAGAGAAATGGCAGATCCAGAGGCGGGTTCTGCTTTTTTCCTCAGAGCAAATGCTGCATAAGCAGCTCCAGTGCAGCCCCTGCTCCTCCCATGGACTCCCAGGCCTGACCTGGAGGGGCTGGGAAGAAGATCAACTTTCTTCCCATTCACTACAAGGCAGAGGAAAAGCTGATATCAGAACCCACTAAAATCTCCAGGTTTTGTCACCCCATCCCTGCATGTCCCAGTAACCACAGTAACAAATGAGCTGATCCTCTCTGCTCCAACCAGTGTACAGGGCTCCCCTGAGCTATGTCTGGTCTCCAGGGCTTCTCTACTCTCCTGAATACAGACACACAACTGTGATGAAGAATGATACAAGAAATGCCAGTCCCAGCTCCTTTTCCATTTCTCCCTTCCCTGGCATGTTAGAGAGAAATTTGCAAAGGCCTCATATCTGAGCTTACCAGCAATTTGAACCCTGATGGTAAAGGAACCCCACTGGCAAATAGCATCCTTACATGAGGATACAGAAGAGTTGTGTAGAACATGGAAATTACCTGTAGGAAGTGCAATGGAAGGCATAATTTTCATGCTACGCTATTAAAAGACTGGGACTTAGGAAGCAAATGCAGTCCATCCCCTGAATATGGGGAGGACGCCTAGATTTATATATTTGTGGACCAGCAGAAACCAAGCTGCAGAAAACTGTGCTTTTCAACTGAATATTTTCTAGTAGGAAACATCATTGTCAACAAGGGAACACTGTCCTAGAGCAGTGCATTGGGATGTCTTTTCCTGACTGTTAAAATCTCTGGAACTGACCAAACAGACACACAACACTGCACGTCATAGCAACTGGACACAGGTAGAACAAAGCACTCTGTGCAAACAACAGCATTTCAGACCACTGAGCCATTTCTACCACTTAAAGGAATTTGAAGTGCATCTTCCATTAACTGGTAGCTGTGGCAGAGTAATGTGTGCTCCTGATAATATGCGCTCACTTCATTCAAACGCAGAACAGCCACATGATGTACCAGTTGAAGCTTCTGGATGTGTTTCAGCGATAGCACTAAAAGGAATGAATTGCAATAAGCTTGCCCTCAGGTCAGAAAAAAACAGATAACTGTCAGTCAAAGAGGGATTGCCATAATGGCTAGGGCAGCCGTAGATAAAAGAAGACAGTATGGCATATGTGATTGCTGTTATTAAGGAACTGAGATTCAGAAGCAAATGCATGGCAGGCAGGTTGGAACTAGATAATCTTAAGGTCCTTTCAACCCTAACTTTTCTATGACTCTATGAAAATACAGCCTAGATACTGCAAAGTGACAGAGGAATGTGTATCTGATCCTCACCAAATGAAGGGCTACTTGCAGCCTAGGCAATTTCTGTAATGCTTTTTATTTCCTCTTGGTTCAGCTTCATTCCTTTTGTCTTAAGTAAGGTTGGATTTCTCCCAGAGAGATACTTCTCCATCTGCCAGGTATAAGGAAGCAGGCTGCAATATCTGGATTTTCTAAAAAGGAAAAGCAAAATGGAGCCTCATCTGCTTATGGGCAATTGTCTGATAAATTATGGCATTATTTCTTGAAATGGACAGAAAGATGCCTTAATAGGTAAAAAAAATAAAGGCAGAATCCCTCTGCACACAGCAGGGAAACAGTACAGTAATACATTCAAAGCCTGGGGTAAGAAATCCATCCATTTCCATGCTCCTTCCACAGCATAGCAAAGAGGTCATCTTTAAGTCTCACATGATGAAATGTAAACCCAATGAATTGCAGAGACAGCCAGCACATTTTCTGCACTGGAGATGCCTCTGGCTCTGAAACATACACCTTTATAATGAGAGTTGCCTAGATCCATCCTGCACTGAACCAGCTATTGAAATCTCATCTGACAGCCCACCAGCCACATACATGCACGTACACATGTGGCTCCTGTTCGTACAAATGCATCAAAGAGTACAAACATCGTGTTTGTCACATATGGTGCAAGAGAGGCAAAAAGCAGAGAGACAGGCCACTGCCTCTGCTAATATATTTGAGTGCTAGCCACCATGTGCCCAGATATGTGGGGTAAATGTTAGATTAAACTATTTTATCCTTCATTAAACACTGTTGCTTCTGGACTTGGCTGTTTCACCATACTGTCTTCATGGGACTTTGTCATCAATGCTTACTCCCCAAAATCAGAATGCTGTCAGGAGTAAGAAACGTTCTTGCCAGCTTATTTGCTAGAGAAAGGTTTTTCAACACAGCTATCAGCACAGATGATCTCTTAAATGGCAGATGCACTATAATGTTGTTAAATGTGTTTCATTTTAAAACTGGAGAGATTGATTTGCTGCTTTACCATCGATTGCAGTAAGATGGTTTCCATGGAAACAGTCTTATCAGGACTCTAGTTTTCCCCTGTTGAGTACAGAAAGCTAAATTGTCATCGTCATTGCACCAGCATAAATGTGAAGCCAGGGGAAAAATTCCCAGATTTAACCCTGAAAGTAGAAGCTGGCTCCCAGTCTCCTTAGGCTTGAGTTTGAGATTTTCAGTGGGATAAGCAATGGTGGGAAAGAAGAAAATGGAAAACAGTTTCTGTGGACAGCAGCATGGGTGGAGGGAGAGGACACAGGAAGCAAACACAGGGCCTTTGTATGAGAAATAGGGAGAAGTCAAGGCAGAATGGAAACAAATGAACTGCTTACTCACAGGCTTAGTGTCTTGCCTGAGAATTACAAAATCGCAAGTCAGGTTTTGGCTATAGAAACTTTTTTATTAACTGCATCAGATTGGGCCAAATATCACCCCACTTGTTTAAATGAAAGGATGAATCAGTTGTTACCATTCTGGAGAAAACCTGCTTCACTTCTGTTTTACTCTGATGGGCAGGAAGGCATAAGAGTGGGAAGAAGGGGAAAGTGAAAAGACTAGTATCCGGTTAACAGAGCTGGCTTCATTTAAGCAAGAGACAATCTTGCCCAGTCTGGAGTACAATCATAGAGACACTGAATGCAAAGTAGAACCTCAGCTCAAGAATAGAATAATACACTGGTTTGGCTTGGAAGGGTCCCTAAAGCCCATCCAGTTCCAACCTCTGCTACGGGCAGGGACACCTTCCACTAGAGCAGGTTGCTCCAAGCCCTGTCCAAC